TAGGACTGGGCCCCTCAAGCCCCAGAAGCGCCTGGCCATCTTTCCTTTCTTACAGAGATGTGCTTTGGGAAATCTTGGGGCATGTTTCCATAAGTGGGGAAAGCTGTTTCCCCACCTACAGAGATGCACTCTCAGAATCTCCAGGATGCATCTCTATAAGTGGGGTAAGCTAGAGTTTCCTTGTTTCCAGAGATGCATTCTTGGCACCTCCCCTTACAAAGAAGTATCCCAGAGATCCCAGGGATATGTCTCTGTAAGCAGGGAAACCCAAGTAGGGGGGCGCACAGGACCAGGCCCCTCAAGACCCAGGAGAATACAGCACCCATTATATCACAGTGTCAATAAGCGGGACAATGGCCAAAATGAATTTCAACAAGTGAAGTGGATCCGCTGTGCCAGGATACATCCCAGCACAGGTGATCTGATTCATTTGGTGGCATTTATGTCTAGCATTAAACAGTTTCCATTTTCTCTTGTGGGTACCAGTGGGCCAATATCCTTTATTTTCCCTTTAGTCTATACATGCAACTACAATTAAGGTATATGTAATTAGTAAATCTGCCCATTCATGATTGTCCCAGGGCCATTCAGGCAAAAGAGCCCCGAGCTGCACCCTGGGGGCTCTGGGGACAGGGGCCATGTATAAAAACAAAAAAACAAGAAAGCTACTTACCTGCAGCAGGATGCAGAATGCTGCGGGAACAAAGAGTAGAGCCCACACGGGCTACAAGCTGAGCCTTTATCCAGCTGAAGCTGGCCGGTGATGTCACGGGCAATCACCAGCTGGCAGAAATAAGAAGGATCACTGCGGGAGGAGCGAGGAGAGCAGGAGAGGTGGCGGAGGCTCTCCACACGGGTAGCGGCCAGTGCCTGTATAGTGAGGAAAGATCTAGCCAGGCAGCAGCTGCAGGGACGGCAGGGTCTCCCTGCTCAGGCAATGGAGAACAATGGAGAACTCAAGCCCTGAGGACTGAGGGATGCTGGGGGCTGAACACTTCAGGCAATGCTGAGGGCAAGCAGCACCACAAGCTGCACTCAGCTGCATGAAGGGAGCAACAGCCCAGAAGAGACAATGGGTCATCGTCCTGAATACTCCCAAGTTCTGGGTACAGGAGATGGGTTGGCAGTAGCAGAGGTGAAGAAACTCTCAAGGAAGGGCGTCAAGGGGACACCATTGAATCTTGACAGCGGGGCTGATGGAACAGCCCAATAGGCCGCCCAGACCCTTATTTTTTTCTGTACATTTTTATTTTCCCCCTTTTTGTGGGGTGGTGATGAGGCACGCAGGCCTCATGAATCGAGTGTCTTAATCTTGAAGGGCCCCAGCACGGGGAAGTGAGGGTAACCGAGGAATGCTGGCATTGTGGCTTCCTTCCTTGTTTTGTTTCACGTTCCTTTTTTTTGTTTCCCCTCTTCTTTGGTTGTCCCAGAGTGGGTAGAGACCTGGTTTATGCAACTAATAGGCCTGGGGGCCACCACAGGCATAAAACACTCGGGACACAAAACCCGAGGGAGGCATCAAGGTCAAGGAAACATCTTCCCTGGAGGGACGGCTGCCTCAGACCAGGTGTCCCGCCAGCGGTTGGTATGAGGCTGGGGTGTAGGGGAGGTGGAGCCCCACGAACGGCCATCAAGCCGAGCACCCACCCCTGAGGGACCTCCAGCGGCTAGCCCCCCCACTGGTAGTACATTCAAAGTCATGGCAGGTGAGTTTAGGGGCAGCCACCTACGTCAGGGGCTGCACAAATCATCAGTACGTCCATCACCGGCCGCTCGGGCCAAGGCAGTGCACGAAGGGGTGTTCAAGGCCAGGCGGGCACAAAGATTCATACACAAAGACATGAATATGTAATATACACCTCATACATGTAGATATCCATATCTTCAAATAAAGACATGAATCATGATTTTTAGCAAGATTAGGAGATGAGTCTTTCTAGTTGTTAAGTTAGCAGGTTCTAAGTACCTTGACTGGAATGCTCTCCCGAGTTTGACTCCATGCCAGTTGCAGTTGCTGGCAGGACACAATAAACTGATTTCTTAACTTGCTACACTGATGGTTTATGGTGACTAAAAACTCCAATGCCTCAAGACCAGTGATAAACTGAAACTTTAGCAAGTGAAGATCTTAAATAACTAGGGGCTGAGTTTCAAGGATCAAAAATGAAAAAAGTCAAGATTTTACACACCAACCAATAGAAACAATAGTTAAATCATAAAAAATTAAAATTTTCAAAGTAGCTCTCCTATAGCTAGACACCTTTTAACTTGGGCTGCTCGCAAATGATGTTGCCCATTGGTGAACCAGAAGATAAATCACATTTTCAATTCTCACTGCCAGTGAACTTGCAAATAAAAGTTCTTAAATGGAATATTGAACATCAATCATCCTAATGATAACTGAAGAGTTACTTACACTCTGCTGCCAGAAGCTTACTTGACTTTCCCTTCTTTATCCTTGAATATATAAGTATAAAAGTAAGCAAACAGAACAGAACAGAAAATTATTCTAGAAAGGGAACTCATCAGCTTCCAATATCAAATTCAATTAAATTCTTACCAACTTCTTGGATAATTTATCAATATCTATATAAAATTATCAATTTTTAAGGCAAGTATAAAGATTACCCCATATTCTAACCTGGATATATTCAGTTTTGAAAGGTTCCTGAGTATTTTTCACCTTTTAAAATTCATTTTCTCATAGGCTCTCTCTCTATATATAGTATACTATACAAAGATAGAGAAAAAAAGAGTACACTTGTGGAAAGAATGTGTGTATACACACAGAGGATCTTTAAACATCTTTATGCATATAAATACCAAAAGTCTAAGTGGAAGACTGCATTATAAATTAAGAGGCTGCAACATTTCATTTAAACTAGACAAATCTGGTTAAGAATACATATAAGCATTTCAGACAAGTAAACATCTGTGTAGTTCAAAAGCAACACAAACCTACTTATAGTAAGACTGGTTACAGATGCAAATTCTGTCAGCAACGTTTTGAAGCAGAATAATCTTAGAGCCAATCTGTACTAAATATAATGAACTTGCAATGCAATGTGGGCACAACTTTAATAATATTCACATGGAAGATCTATCAAACTCTCTTATAATTAGGATTCTGTTCAATAAGAGGATGTGTTAGGACTATAATCTTGGAATGTCTCCAATGTAATCATACACTAGCCATAGACCCATAGGCCAATTTAAACTTATTTGACAGCAAACACCATCACAGGACTATTTTGTATAACAGTGAATACATTATTATATTCTCCAAAAATATAGCAAAGGGTTTCTTCAGCTCTGTTTTCCCTAAATATAGGACAAATTTACCCCTGATTTTCTTTTATTTCTGTTTTTCAAAGAGTAATTTCCTAACATAACCAATATACTGCCATACCTTTCCCTCACCCACCCAGTTACCTGCATCAGTTAGCCCATTTGTTAAAAGAAACATATAAAGCTAAGTCATTGCTTGATGGTAAAGTGATATAATCTTTACTTAATCTATTTAGCAGTTAAAAATGTAAACTTTGGTGCTCTCTCACTGGGCACTTATAGGCCAAATGTGCAAATGTTACAAAATGCAGTAATTGTACTCTTACTGGAGACATATGGAAGCCCCTAAAAGTATCAGAGACTGGCAAAACAAAGTATTTTAAAAGGTAGTTATCTGCTAGGACCAAAGTGTTACAATCATACCATAAACATTTGGGATTTTTAATTTGTAGAATCCCTGCAGTATATGAGCTTCTATAGTGCAGTTGACTGTGTTTTATCATGTTGCAGAAAGGATTTATGCCCTCTTTTCCAGCATCTAAAACACACTCAAAATAAATAAGTAACATTCAGTATTCATGAAAAAATTATCTGAAAAAAAATTGTCGGGGATCAACAGCTAAGATTTTAAAAAGTGTGAGCATGATATTTTCCATCTGAAAAGATTTCTAAAAGAAGCTAGCAGGTACGCAGAGGCCATAAAAATTGTGACATATTTTAAGTCACTGTTGTAGCACCTGAAAACTCAAGTTTGGCTCCTAAATTTATGGCTTACTTGACAAAAAGAAAAGGATATCACATTTAATAAAATACAGTGAAGTTTTTTTTCAAGTGTGCATGTCTTTTCCTTCCTTCCAAGTTTTATATCTTTTAACATATCACTTCTATGTAAACTGTGTTTGAATTATAATGTGAGAGGCAAGGAAGTCTCAGGGTAATATCTTTTATTGAACCAAGTAGTAGGCCTGTGAGAAGCAGCTAATATTCACTTGGGATTCAGATTCGGATGATTCGGGGGACAGTGATTTGATTTGGTGATTCACATCACTGTCCTGAATTGAATCTGATTTGGAGATTTGGCCACTGCCAAATTGGATAGGGCCCAATACCTGCCGGCTCTCCCAGCCCCTGCCCTCATGGATGCCCTGCCCGGCCACAGCTCCTGGTTCTTTAAAAAGAAAAAAAGCCCCAAACTCACCAGCTACTGCCAGGTGTGTGTGGGGGGCAATACCCCTGCCCTGCGCTGCATAGGGGCTCTGCCACAAGCCCCCAGAAACCCCGAGGCTGCTGTAATGGCTAGTGAGTGGGGGACTTTTTTTTTAAATGAACTGGGAGCTGGGGTAGGCGGAGCAGCTGTGGTGGGGCTGGGACAGTGCGTGGGGGATGGGAGCTCATGGCAGAGCTCCCCATGCAGTTTGGGGCAGTGGGTGCAGTGGGGATCACCCCCTTGCCCAGAAGCACCCAGTGAGTGGGGGCTTTTTTTTTTTTTTTTAAAGACCCAGGAGCTGGGGCCAGGCAGGGCAGCCATGGCGGTGGGGGGTGTGGAGGGGCTGGGGCTGAGACAGTGAGCAGGGGTCGGGGGCGCTCAGAAGAGCTGAGGAAGCAGGCAGTGGGTGTAAAATATCACTCTTACACTATCAGTTTAATTACAAGACACCTTGTGTATATTTTGACAGCAGCCCAGAATACTTATTCATATCCTGTCTTTTTAGGTAAAACATCAAGACAATATGGCACACCTGGCTGAACCTAAATGGACTCATATGTTCCCTATGTTGGTGGTAGGTATTTGGATACTCAGGATAACACTGTGGTACAAAAGAGATGTGTCATTTTGATAAACTCCAGTAAATTAACATAGCTTTTCTACAGATAATTTAAATATCTTAGGCACTCTTTTGGCATCTCATTTCTGTTCAGTAAAGCAGTTAGACATTTACTTGACTTTAAGAACACACTTCAGCTCCACTGACTCAAGCATGGCCTTAAATACTTTGTTGAATAGGGATGGGCTTCGGCTCTGCTTCTGGGCATACCATGAACTGCCTATAACTTGGTAATGCTGAGCAATTAAGCTTCTAGCTCACACCTAAACCCCATTGTCATCTACACACCAGGTATTTCCTCATCTATCCGACTGGGGTGGAAGAGGTAGAGCACACCTATCTAAGCACAAAACAAAGGATCTGTTGGTTGTTTCCCCTTATGCAATAGCCCAGTTGTTAGATAACTCACCCAGGACCTCAAGGACAGGTCTCCCACGTCCTGGGTGTGTACTCTAACCACTAGACTATCAGACAAAAGTGAAGGACAGGCACCAACCCCTTCCCTTGTGTTTTGGGAAAAAGGGCTGGCATAGGAACCTCTTTCTAGGGAAGGTATCAGAGCTGTGAATTCTAATTAGAGACAGATGACTCCCTGAAGCCCAGAGGAAGGCAGCTAGTATCCCCCTCTTCCGAGTTTGTCCTGTTAGCTAGCTAATGCAACTCCATTTTCAGTGTGCTAGAGTCTGTGGATCCCATTCACCTAACTGACTCCATGCATTGTTCGGGGAACCTACATACCTAACTTGAGGTTACATACCTCACTTGATTCCATTAGTTTGCAAGACATATAAAAGTGAGCTAGTGCACCCTTCTGTGCTGTATTGGTAAAGATGCCTCATTCCTCAATATTTACATAGTAGTAAACCCAATTTAACCTCTTGTCTTTTAGGACAGCCCCAATTTTGTTGGAATATTTACCTTTAAACACCCATGCTTCATTCTTTCTCCATTTCTAGGCAGCCAAGCTAAGACTGTTTTGGCCTGAAAGTCAGTCCAGTCAGCCTTCCAAACCAGAGCTGTTTGGCAAGAATAACAAGCCTGTAATGAGAAAACTAGGTGATGAAAATAACAATGATTTCAAGCATTTACATTTGGTGACAGGTTTCGCTGGTGTACTCTGCAAAAGCTGAGTATTCCAACTGTGGTGAAAACGAGTATTACAACCAGACCACTGGGATGTGCCACGACTGTCCCCAGTGCCAGCCTGGAGAAGAACCTTACATGGTAAGTTCAGATTCTCATAACCTTGTTGTAAAATTCCAGCCCCAGAGATGACATATGAAAAGATGACCTACAAAAACAAATGTATTATTCATAATGGGATTGGTGAAGTGCAGTTTAGTGTCTGCATACACTGCTAAACAGAAGCAATTATGGATCTCAGTGTGCTTACTATCTATCATACAAAAGCACTCTGGGGCTGAGCTGACCAAAATGCAAGTTGAGATCCATGGCTAAAAGATGTTGTACAAGTTCAGATCTTGTCTTTGAAGCAAGCATGTCTTAGAACAAATATATTGTTAATTTTTCAGAGATGGCAATGATTTATAACATGTTTCTTTTATTTTAATATTAAAAAAAAAGGGGCAAGAACCTCAGATAACAATCCAGCAAACAGCTGAACATATACATAGTTAACTTAAACTGCATGGGACTGCTCGTGAGTTTTGCTGGACCAGGGTTTCACTCATTTATGCTTCAGTAAATCACATTCCACAAATAGTTTCTTAAAAGCAATATTTTAAAACAGGTCCAATATAAAAATATCTCTCTCACACAATTTTGGCAGTGCATCCTCACCTCAGTTCTTGTATATCAGCTGGCCAGCTATTTAAAAACTGGCATTAACGCTGCAGCTCTTGTGTGATGAATAGCTTGAAATGCTTTCTGACTCCCCACATCGAGAGTTTAATTTTGCTCTCCTGCTCAGATAGTTTGGCATCAAAGAAACTTGGAAGCCTCTGCAACATTTTAAATTACAGTTCCCAAATACCCATTTAATTTACTGTAGATAATTGTGGCATATTGAAAAACAAATTACTGAAATCCTGTTTGGTTTTAATAGGCTAAACATCCTATTGTAAGAATTTTGCACAGTTGCTAATCCTGATTAAATATGTTTGTAATAACCAGTTGGTATTAGTTTTATTTAATCAAAATTTAATGCTCTTCTGGGAAATTTGAATTCAGGGGTTACCCAGTTTCATGCAAATGTTGCCTTTGTGAAGCATCATCTGGCTTCTTCCCTACACATCAGTGAAGAGACCACTGACATTTCTGCTGGAGTCATTAGGTTTGCCCATATTTTTTTGCTTTACTCTGTAATCCAAAGTATCCGATTTCATTGTCATTGTTTTTTAGACGAGATGTACATGAAACTCACTTTAAAATCTGTCAGAAATACAATATAAGTGGCAGAAGATGTCACTTCTTGGAAATACAAGACTGTGTCTTTCCTCTTCTCCCCTTCCACATCGTTCCACAGCCTGTGTAATACAGATAACAAGAGACTGAACCACAAACCCAGTTCTCCTATTTCTCAGCATCACAAACCCAGAGAGTGGGGGGTATACTGGGAATGTTCTTTTTTCCTAGAAGGTAATGCAAAATGCAGTTCTGTGATCTATCATACAGACATGTGGATATGGCACCAAAGATGAAGACTATGGCTGCATTCCTTGTCCATCTGAGAAGTTTTCTAAAGGAGGTTACCAGATATGCAGGCGCCACAAAGATTGTGAGGGATTTTTTCGAGCTACTGTCATGACACCTGGTGATAAAGAGAATGATGCGGAGTGTGGGCCTTGTCTTCCTGGGTAAGAATTTAACTATGGATCTTTGCTTTATAAAATTGTTGTTCAGAGTACTCAAAATGCCTGTTCTGGTTCAAAACCCCTGACTTCCTCCTTTCTTTGCCTGTCTGGTTATAAGTACTTTGCATTTATGTTTGGTGACAGGTATTGGTAAGTACAATTTAGGTGTAATTTACAGTCTATGCATAAATAATAGATGCCAATATCTGAAATTGATTGGAGATTTTAGTAGCAATAAATGCCATTAATATCATGAAAATGCAAAGGACTGGAGAAATATTTTAGAAGGAAAGAGTCTCTCTGTATAAGACCAGATAGCAAGCTGGGTAATCTACAGGGTTTAGTAGCACAGTAGTTTAAAAGGCTACTAAAATCATAAGAACTTCTACCACTCTCTCTAGTTCAAAAGCAATATTATTCTGTGGCTGGTGCTTGATACAAGACCAGATTTCATTTAATAAGTCCATCTTGGAATCAAAGATGCACTGAAAACAGGCAGCACAATCCTGAAATAAAATAATAGAACAGTTACCAAATTACATTTCTGAGAAATGTTCTCACAGATATCTAAGTGCCTACATATACAAGTATGCAATGATTTTTTTTTAAATGTTGCTTTAACTAGCTAAATAAGTTGCCCCAAGGCTCAAGTAAGGGTGAGCAAAGCTCACTTGTACTGAGATTTGTGAAAGTCACAGCTCAAAACTTAGTCATGAGTCTATAAAAATAGCATGGTTGAGCTCCATGTTTACCTTACTCCAGTAATTTTATACAAAATCTCCCTGAAATGTTTATAGGTAAGAAAATTTGTTCCTACCTGCCAGCCCTACAAAATTACCCTGAAATATAAAAGTTTCTTCTTTCTTATGATCAGCCCAAGAAGTTGATCCTCAGTAGCCAGGGGAAGCTATGCTAACTCAGAGCTGCTCTCAGACCAAAATAGCTGGAGTGAAATAAACTCTTCCCACACCTAATCCTAAACTTGACCTCCTAAACAAGTGCAGTGAGGGAGTATATGGCAGCTTTTGGCCATGGAGCAGCAACTTTTTTAAGGAGTAAACCTCAAGGGGCTGTTCCACCAATGTGGCAGTAAGTATGGGCAATAATTTTCAACAGTAGAATGCACTTAAGTAACATAAAACATACAAATCCCAAGATTACATGCCAAATTCTGTGGTCATTACTCAGAGCTACATCCTGCCATGAATATTTGAAAAGAATTATATTTCTGATGGATTCTGATGAAACATCAATGGCACAATATGGCTTCATTTAATTAGCAGATCTCTGCCAGCTGCTACAGTGGTTCCTTTAAAATACATGAGATAATGATATAACTTTATCTCTGAATTAACACTATTACCTACAGCCAGTATTAGTGAAGTCAGAGGCCTTCTGTGTGACGTCATGGGCCAGTCAGAACTTCTGTATGCTTAGTTTCATAGTTTCTAGGGTCGGAAGGGACCTGAGCAGATCGAGTCCGACCCCCTGCCATGGTAGGAAAGAGTACTGGAGTCAAACGACCCCAGCAAGGTGTTCATCTAACCTCCTCTTAAAGACCCCCAGGGTAGGAGCCAGCACCACCTCTCTTGGAAGTTGGCTCCAGATCCTAGCCGCCCTGACAGTGAAGTAGCGCCTCCTGATGCCTAGTCTGAATCTACTCTCAGTCAACTTATGGCCATTATTCCTTGTCACTCCCGGTAGTGCTCAGGGGAACAGGGGCTCTCCCTTTGCCTGCTGGTCCCCCTTCACCAGTTTGTAGATGGCCACCAGGTCCCCCCTCAGCCTTCTCTTGTGGAGACTAAACAGATTCAGGTCCCATAGCCTCTCCTCGTAGGGCCTGCCCTGCTGCCCCCTGACCATGCAAGTGACCTCCTCTGGACCCT